TTTTTTATGAATAGTCAGGTTCGCCTGAGGCTGTGCCGTAGACTGACTGACTACATTTGTTTATTTACTTTTTAATATGAGAGCAGGACCGAAAACTGTCACTGTTATCAAGCCTACTGAGTATTAATGGAAATTTGAATCTTTAGGGAAAAAACCTTGTTTTTCAAATATTCGTGAAACTTTTTCAGTAATTTTAAGATCTACTATCCTACTCGTAGCAGAGATTTACAAAAGGAGCAGGACCGAAAACTGTCACTGTTATCAAGCCTACTGAGTATTAATGGAAATTTGAATCTTTAGGGAAAAAACCGTGTTTTTCAAGTATTCGTCAAATTATTTCAGTATTTTTAAGATCTACTATCCTACTCGTAGCGGAGACAAATCCAACAAATCAAAAACCATGAAAATTGGTCCAGCAGATCTCGAGTTATAAGTGTAGTAACACTTTTAACAACTCTCTTTTATATGTATAGATATATAATATTTATATATACTTATTACATTCGTTTTCTGAAAATTTTCCACTTTTTAAAGCTAATAAAAATGTATTTATTTAATCGATAATTTTACAATTGTCTAGAAATATTTACACATATTTGAATATTGGCTATATATATAGTATATAAATTTATATCGTGTGCCGTAAAATCACATTCATCAAATTCACAAAATATCAATTTGAGGTCTTAGTACCCTTCCGATGGGGAGTTGCTGCCGTGCCAGAATGAATAACGTTTATTTGAAGTCACGTCGTGTGCTAGAGGAGCATAGGATTTAGGTGGAGAGGAACCCAAGTGGCGCGGTGGATGCTGCGAATACTGATTCTGGGCACATGGCTGCGGATAAGGAGCAGGTCTCTTGCGCTCTGGAGCAGATGCAGGAGCGGGCTGGTAAGGTTTGTGTGACGTAGGAGACCAGATGGGGGGATTAGGTCTTAGTTTGGACACGACCGCTGGAGTGGATTGATAAGCAGGCACAGTTTCCCAAGGCAAAGGTTGCTGCCAAGAGACGGAACTAGAACTGAAGCTGGAACTGGTTGCAGGTACGGCTACATAAGAACTGTAGTTGGGATTTCTTGGTTTACCGGGTATTGGCTTAGAGGAAGGTACTTGGGAATAGACGCTGGCGTAGTAAGAGCCTTAAAGACAAATAATAAAGTACTTGAGATTTAAATTATATAGATTGTAATGCGTGGGACGTACTCTGCTGATTGGGTTCCTTATGGCTCCGGACTTGTGATTGTGGAGGAGGAGCTATATCGACTGACTCAACTTCATAGGAGGGACGGGAAGAAGGGCTAGAATGCTTGTCATAATGATATTTTGGACGCCGATCGCATGCCTCCAAATCCAACTCGATTCTTTTTTGGGACACGATCAACTCTCGAAGAGCACTCTCAATTTGCCAGGAATTTAGAGGTTTCAGCTGGGACACTGCATGCGCTAACTTCTCAAACTGGGTGTCCTGTGTGCGATTCAAGCTAATCAGCTTACTAGCCAATGTGATCAACTTGAGATTAGAATCCTCGCTAATCTCCTTGAGGCGCGCCAAGCTCTTCAGTTCCACCTCGATGTTGATTTGGGATGTCTCCAGGCTATCAAATGAACACTGAAGTCCATTCAATTGCGGCAGTACAGCGCGCGTTATTAATTTTGTCAGATCTAATATATTGTTCTCAATGCTGCGTGTATTCTGTAGTACGTGTTTCTGATACCCATCCAGTTTTTTCTCCAACCCGCTAATTTGTTGCTTTGTTGAGATCTGCAGACGGGCCAAGCCTCCCAATTCTTTGGACACACGATCAGCATGAATAGCAGACTTAAGTGTGATGTTATTGAATGCCTCCTGAACGACCACAGATTGCGCATCGAGAAAAAGGTTAAGTTTGTTCAGTTGGCCATCTACATTTTTGATCGCATCCAGCCAGCCGCGTTGCTGTTCGATGATGTTTCTAATGTTTTCGTTTGTGGCATCGATGTGACGTAAAAGCGCCTTAGTTTCATTTAACTCCTTAGTGCTCTCTGCTAGCAGTCGCTCGATACTTTGGGCACTGCCTGCACAGATGCAGCCCAACCAAATGATGGTTAATGGAAGATTCATAACTGCTTTGGTTTGCAACTGACAGACACAAGTGCCTTTGGATGAATGCTGCTCGCCCTTAAATACGCGAATATATTGGGCAACTGCGGTGGCACGTGTCTGTGTGCATCTTGAACTATCTAGCAAGTGAGTTTTTTGTGTTGTGGGCACATAATAAATGCATATTATTCGGGCTATTTCTTGTTAATCGAAGTTATTTGAAGAGTCGGCACGAATTTGAATGTCAGTGTTGATAAATCCATGTAGTTGTCATCCGTTGTTATATTCAGGAGCAACAAGTATCCACAGCCGATAGTGTGTATCTCTAGTGCCGATAACCGATGATTCCTTGTCGATGATTCGTTGTCAGCTGTCAGCACTACCTTTTGCAGCTGTTTAAAGAGTAGGCTGACTGGGTGAAAAAGAAAAATATATTTCTTCGAGAAAGAGAAGTCAATATATATTGTGTATAATAATAAATGCTAGAGTCGTTTATCTGTATTAGTGGTGTCCGAATTTCGTTTTACATTTCAACCATAAGTACGCACAGCTGTAAGTAAGGCGAAAGACGTGAGCAAAGTTCAACAAAAAACTTTCGGACCGACAAGAAGCAAAGCAACTTGCAAGATGGAAACCCAACAAAAGCAACAAAATACGATCGAGGCTGATGCAACAGCCGATCCGTCATTTCTGGGGGCCGCATTTCGGGAAATCTTCTACAGTCCGATGAATCTGGCATTGTTGTCCATAATTTGTTTCCTGGTTTATAAGATAGTGCGAGATCGCTGCGAGGGCCCGGGATCTCGGGATTCGGCACAGAAGCCGGCTGAGCCGCAATTGCCAAAATTGCGCCGAGATTTCACTATTAAGGAGCTGCGTGAATACGATGGCAACCAACCAGATGGCCGTGTTTTGGTTGCGGTCAATGGTAATGTTTATGACGTCACAAAGGGCAAACGTTTCTATGGACCTGGGGGACCATATGCCACATTTGCCGGACGCGATGCATCACGAAATTTGGCCACTTTTAGTGTAGTGCCTAACGATAAAGATGAGTACGATGATCTGAGCGACCTTAACATGATGGAAATGGACTCGGTGCGCGATTGGGAAATGCAATTCAAGGAGAAGTACGACTTTGTCGGTAAATTGCTGCGTAATGGTGAGCAGCCGACGAACTATGATAACGATAGCAACGATGAAGATGAGAATATCGACGACGGCAGCAAGAAAGACAACTAAATCGCGAAACGGGAGGTGTATGAAAGGCATGAAAAACTTTTGCTGCTTAACGATGATTAGCACAAAAGGCGACAAGTGGCGTACGTCTTGGCAATCTAGTTATGATTTTACACCCAAATACACACACATACACACCCACTTACATATACATCCCTTACACCCACAGTGGCATAGGCAAGCTGTAAAAACATCTAGATCTAATGAGAAAACTATGTTATAAGATTTATATATGTATGTTAAAACAAAGAATATATATATATATATATATATGGAAAATATAAAATAGGTAAAAATTATTGTTGGTATATTCAAATCAAAATTGTGCAACAAATTGTATACATAAATAAGTGGAACAGTAAACACATAAACCCTAGCACTGATCCTAAATGGTCTAAAAAATCGCATTGAATAAAGCTAGAATAACATGAAATGTCAAAAGCTGATTAAATATATAAATATGTACATATGTATGTATAAATAAGTATGCATGTATGTATGTACAAATGTACTTGGGAACACGTTGAATGCAAATTCTTTACTTAATAGTTGCGAGGGGAGGCTATTAAATTGTGCATAGGCTGGTCAGTCGCTTTAGTTGACTAAATTGGTAACAAATCACCTAAAATGCATTGAATAGCTTTCAATACATGTACATATATATGTTCATACATACTATTATCATAAACAATGTAGTTAGGTGCAGCTGTACTCCCGCCTTCTCTGGTTAGAGTCTCAACATATGTACATATGTCATGTGTATGTATATTTTGAGCTAATCGATAGCTAAGTAATCGCATAGCTATCGATATCGTTGTTGTCGGCGCAATAAGTTAATCAAATCAGTAGCTAGCAACAGGTTGTATTAATACCGAATTAAATACTTGAAGCAGTGTAAAGAACTTAACTAAATTTTAAGTAAAAGTCATGCAGGCCAGCGGAAGCTCAGTGAATTCGAATCCTAGATGGCGTGTTTCGGCGAGCCTCATCATAGTGACGCCTGCAGCAGCAGCTGGCGAGGATTACAATGTTCGTGGCAAACCTGCAAGGAATAACTATTGCTTCTGTATACTTAATTTTGGCATTATTTAGGTGCTCATGTTAAAGCGTACCGATGCGACGGCCATGGCTACTAACCAAACAGTTTTTCCTGGCGGATTGCTGGAAGTGGAGGCGGATGAGAGCGTTGCCTGGCTTCAGTACTTTGAGGAGTTTGGTGTTACCCAAACGTCGCTGCGTAGTCTTGTACTGATCAGCGAACAAAGGCCAAACATATTAGCTCCACAGGGTACAGGTTGCTATGATCGTTTCTTTAAACGTTCCAAAATTTGGGCGCGGTAAGTGCAAGGTGCAAAGTATGTACATATGTATATGTAAATTCTATCTAATCTCTGTGCTTGATTAGGGAGATAACGCTGCGCTTGGCGGCTTTGCGTGAGTGCTTTGAGGAAGTGGGTGTGCTGCTGTGTCGAAATCGAGCTCAGGTTCATCAAACGGCTGCAGTCGCTCATGCAGCACAGCTGGATGCAGATTCTCTGAGCACTTGGCAAGCTCGCGTGCACAGCAACCCTAGTGATTTCTTAGCCCTATGTCGACATATAGAAGTAGTTCCCGATATATGGGCGCTGCACGAATGGTCCGCCTGGGCGAGTCCCGCGTTTGTTAAGAACCGGTGAGTCATTCAAGGAATCAAAATTTTTAATTTAGTATAATGAAAACTTTAAACCTTTTAGTTATGAAACTGTTTTTTATATGGTCTTCCTGCACTCACAGCCAAGCTTGCTCGCAGAGCCCACCGAGGTGAAGGAAGGTCTGGTAAGCTAAGCAGTTCTTCAAATATATATATTGTCGCATTCCCACGAAATTAGAGTATTTTGATTTTTAGCGAAATTGAGATTTGAATGCCGAACGAATAGAAAACGTCTGTCTCACATACTTGCAAACAATAACAATTAAATTAGCTCTAGTTTAGTTACCCTGAACCAAACCCATTGAAAATGGGAAATCAGGGTATAATGGTTTTGTTAAAAGTATGTAAC